AAATTTTAAATATGGAAAAAATGATATACTTTTTATTTTATGATCTAAACTTTTTGTGATCTATGAAATTAATATCTGTCTAACTTAAGGTTGCAAAGATTTTTCTCCTATTTTTTTTCCCCTAAAAGTTGTATAGTTTTTGGTTTTACATTCAGGTCTATGATCCAGTCAAGTTTAATTTTGTGTATGATTCAAGGTACAGTTGAAAGTTCACTTTTAAAAAAATATAAATATATGTATATAATTGTTTCAGCACTATTTGTTGAAAAGATTCTCCATTTACTATTGATTTACTTTGACATTTTTGGCACTAATCCCTTGATGATATACACATGAGTCTTTTTCTGGACACTATGTTCCATTGACCTATCATTGGTGTAGGTTTCTCCATACGCCAATATCACACTGCCTTAATTAGTGTAGTTCTTGAAGTAAATCTTAAAATTTGGTAGTGTTGTTCCTTCAAGTTTGTTCTTCTTTTTCAAAGTTGTTTTGTGTATGTCTAGTGTATTGTATATTTTGCATTTCTGTATACATTTTAGAATCAACTTGTTAATTCCTATTTTTTAAAGGCTTCTGGGGTTTTGCACTGAATGTAGATATCAATTTGGAAAGAATTGACAATGGAACAATATTGGGTTTTCTGATTTATGCATATATCCACAAGGAGATTATGTTTAGGAAAGCTCATTTTTTTTGCTCAGTTCCTGTATATTTATCTCTCATAGTTGAAAATAAGTCTAAGTAAAAAGTGACAATTCCCTTTCTCTTGCCAAGGCTGGTTCAGGAATGGGCTTGTGACTCAGTTCTGGCCAATGAGGCTGGAGGGGAGTTGACCTTGAGAGCTCTGAGAAAGGTGTTTATGTCCTTGGAAGACTCAGGAAGAGAGGCCCTGTTCTTTCTCTGCATGTTGTAATGTCTAGATATGACATAGGAATTGTTGCAGTCATCTGTGAGAGGAATCAGAATGAGGGCAAACGGCCAATATGCAGAAGGTGACAAATCAAAAAGACAGAGAAACCCTGGACCTTGAAGACCATTTGAAACCAGGGAAGTAATCAACCTTGGAGTCTACATGGCCTTCCTTGTGATGTGACAAAAAGATTTTCATGATGGCTCAAGTCTATATGAGTTGGGGTTTTCTGCTATATGTAGTAGAAATCATCTAATCCCATATATCCATTCTTATCAGCTAATAAAATACATACATTCCTGAAAAATCACAAGCTGTAGATTTTTCACTTAAAGAGTATTTTTAGTTTATATTCCCACTGTTTCTTTAAAGCTTGTATGTTGTTTTTTAAGTTTATGAATTCAATATATAAATTCAGTCTCATTGTAAAGATACAAACAATACAAACCTGATAAATGTAAAAAGTCAGTGTTTTCCTCCAGCCTCCTCTTATCCCAAAGCTAATCTAAAACTCTTCTTGGAAAATAACCATTATTGGCAATTTGTTGTGTATCCTTCTGGATCTATTTCTATGTGTGAAAGGGACATATATAAATATATGCTAAAAACATACCTTATTTGAAAGTTTGTAGGCACAGGTGAATGATTATTTAAAATTTGCAGAGACTTTTTAAAAACAATTAAGAACCTTTGCCAAATATGTGTTGAAATTATTCTAAATGTTTTTCCTTATATGGGAAAACATATTGAGATACACATTATATATTATACCTCAGAATTTAGTAGGTAGTCCTACAATAACTTTCTGGTAACCTTTAAAAAAGATAAAAATGTGTATCTAAAAAGAAATATACTAATTTCATTGAATACTGCCTGTGGTAGTTATGAAGTACACATTCACAATGGATGACATAATGACAATCTCAACCAGTCCTGTTAGAATTACCCTCTTCCACCTGTTGTGATTTTGCTCCCTTGCTATCCAGAACATTTTTCTCTTCCACCCATAAAGTCTAGGGCTATGACTTTAAGTGGAGGGACTTAAAAACTCTAAACAAAGTGTTTAACCACATGGGGTAATGTGACTTCATGAGTTAGAGTTGTATGGATTAAACAAATAAAATCCATATTAAAAGAAAAGTTCATAATTCCCCCCCAGACTCCTATAGTCCCATTCTGTGAATTAATTGACAATCATTTTCTTTATCTTATGCTGGTGTGTGTGTGTGTGTGTGTGTGTGTGTGTGTGTGTGTAAAATGGAACCATGTGTTACTCTTTAAGTAGGATACAGGCTTGACTCTGTAATAAAGCCCCCAAATAACAGTGGCTCCACAAGACAGAAATTTATTTCTTGTTCATGAAAGAGACCAGTTATAAGCAGTCTAGGAGGTATGGACTTTCTACAGTGTCAGCGACACAAACTCTTTCCAGCTCATGGTGCTGTCATCCCCAGGTATCTTGCTCATCTATGAGATGTCTTCACTCTAACCCAAGGAGGGAGTAAAAATCCAGGGGAAGGCATTTTCCTTGCTAAAGAGCACAACCCTGAAGTTGCATGCATCACATCTGCTCTCATCTCACTGGCCATAGTTTAATCACAAACCACACTTCGCTGCAGGGGAGGCTGAGGAGAAGCAGACAGGGTTGGAGGGGTTCAGACAATCCCAGGCTGCCTCCCAAGAGGCATCCCCAGCACTGATTTGTTGCTGTTCATATCAAGTCATCTTTACTAGTGAAGGCTGAACCCGGATGACTGAATTCTCAGGTTAGAGAATGACACACACAAAAAAGGCAGAAGAGGTAAAGAAAAAGATTGATTGATTTAACTAAAACGTAAAACTTCGGAACAGTAAAAAATACCATATGCAAGTTAAAAGGCACATGGCATGTTGTGAAAATGGTTTACACCGTATATAATAGGCAAGGGCTTAATCTTAAATACTAACAGATCTTAGAAATCTGTAAGAAATAAATACTTCGGTTAAAAATGGGCAAAGGGTTGGGGTGCCTGGGTGGCTTAGGTCATGATCTCAGGGTCCTGGGATGATGCCCCGCATTGGGCAATGCCTGTTCAGGAGGGAGTCTACTTCTGCCTTTTGCACTGCTCCTCCCCCTGCTCCTGCTCTCTGTCTTTCTCAAATGAATAACTAAAATCTTTTTTAAAAATGGGCAAAGGATGTCAGTGGTAATTTAGAAAAAGAGAAATACAATGGGCAAATAAATATACGAAAAATAAACATTTAAGCATGCTATATGATTTTTTTAAGTGCAAATTAAACAGCCATGGAAACCACTTATCACACAGACAGGCTATTTGTGCTGAAACCATATGTGTGGTGGGTTCTTGTCTGGGAGGAGGGAGAGAGGTTTTTGGGGCATTCCCATGCTCTGTTGGTTGGAGTATAATCAAAACAAACCTTTGAGAGGGCCATTTGGCAATATGCATCAAAACCCTTGAAAAAGTACATACTTGCCTCAGAAATTCTACATTAGAAACGTGTCCTAAGGAAAAAGTATGTTCTCTCATATTTGGAAAACTCAACACAGAATTGTTTACATAATATGGAAAAACCCAGAAACAATATAAATGCCCCACAAAATGGAATTGGATAAGTAATTTACTTTCTGTCCATATAATGGACTGCTCTGAAGCAATTAATTATTTTGTATATTTATCTTAAAAGGGAAGGGTGGTTATTATGTGTTTTTAAGCAGGAAGTTATAAACAGTATGTGCAATATGGGCCCATTTTAATAAAAATATCTCTGTGAGTCATTTAGGATGCAAGTTACAAGGAACAGAGAATTCAATTTAAACCCACTTCAACAAGCAAATGTATTCGCATATAAGTAGAGACTCCAGAAGTAAGATAGGTTTTGGTGTTAGTTTAATTTAGCAGCTCAGAAAGTTCCTTAAAAAACTAATTTCTTTTTATATCTCTTTTCTGCCTTCTGAAGTGTCCGCTCCAGCTGAATGCGAGTTTGAGTTGTGGTGGCAAGTTGGCTGCCAATAGCTTCCCACTGTTCAAACACAGAGAAGGAAAGATCATCTCTTCCCGGGCCTTCGGTGGGAGTCTAGGCTTCGCTGAGTGGGCCATCGTGATCATGTGCCTTTCCCAGTGGCCAGAGGAATGCTTTGTGTTGATTGGCTTAGATCTGGATCGGGTGCTGGTCCCTAAAACAAGCACCATGGCTAGAGCCTAAGATTATTGTAATTTAGTTTAGCCAACCTGGGCTCCGTAAGGGAGGTAGACATGGGGTAAATCCAACAAATCATCATGGATGTTCTACAATGGTATGAGGTGGAATGGATGTTGAGAAGCTCCTCCTCACTACAGAAAAAAGACTAGAAGGATGTACACCAAAGTGCCAACCAACAGTGCTCATCTTCAGGTGGAATTATGGGGAATTTTGATTTTTCTTTTTGTGCCTATCTGTTATTTTACACTTTTGATAACAAACGTATTACTTGCATAACTTTAAAAAGAAATGAAGGCTATAAAGATGAGGAAAAAGTTGGTGTATAACACTTGCAATATAATTAGCAGCTTGAGAGACTTAAAGCAGACATGTTGGCAAACAGGAAATATGAATTTTCAGAATGGCACCAACTGTGCCTCGCAGCAGCTTCTAACTGCCTTTCTCTCGCCTCTGTTATGAAATTGTGGTCATTTCTATAGATGTAATGTGAGATTTTTGAAAGCCAGTCTTGCTTAAAACGGCTGGTTCCAGTGGCTTGAATTTTTCCCTTATGCTGGGGTGGGAAAACTTTTTAGCTTTATCTAGCAATGTTTTCTCTTGTCACCTTTAAGCACCATGAAGTGAGTCAGAACTCCAGAAAGGTTGCAAAAGGGGAAGCACTGGTCCTGGGTTCCTCTACTTCCTTCTTGGACAGAGGCGCTGAGTGATCGATCATCCAGGAAGTGGCTACCACAAAAAGTCACCACTTTCTCTGAGGTCCTGTGGCTCTCTATACTGGAAATCAGAGTGACACTGGCTGCAGCCAGCACGGAAGGGGCCCTGGGTCTGAAGGCTCAGGGGCCTGGGACAACGAGAAGTGAGGCCCTTCTCTTGATTCACTTCTGTTAGTGAATCCTGGGTAGTGGGAGTTCTTCCTAGGATTCATGGAGAAACTCCTGCTGCTCTTCTTTTTTTCCTGGAAAAAAGAACCCATTTTTCCACTGGCAGAAAAGACTCCCACTGGTAACTTAAGGTAAGGAGTTCTCGTGTCAGGCTGGGCATCCTGTTTCTCATTTTTTTTTTTTTTCTGCTTGAAATTGATTCTCAGCTCTGCATTTTGTTTTTATCTGATCATGGCCTTCTGGAATTATCCCCTTGATGGCAAACAAGTAATGGGCATTTTGGTTTCATGATGAGAACGATACTTAACCAAAAGGATCGAAATGCTCCAGTTTGAGTGGTCAGGGCACTCTGGTCTCAGTAGGAAAATACCTGTGGGAGAGGAAATGAGGCCCCAAGGTGGATATTGGATGGTCTTAAGCATCCATTCTGTGTTTCTCCTGGTAATGTCACCCAACCCCCCACCAGAATGTAAACTTCATTCAAGGAAGGACCTTGTTTGTCTTATTCAATGGTGCATCCACAGCATCTAGAACAGTCGGAGGCACTCAACACATACCTGGTAAATGGATGAATAGGAAGCTGGCTAGTTGGATGGATGAACGTTTCTTATTTTTTAGAGTCACTGTCTCATGAGAAGTTTTCCTTGACTCTCCCAGGAAGATTAGAGTCCCTGCTCTGATTAGAGTCCTTCCACGACACTTTGAATGAAAACACTCAAGTCACAGAAATGAAACTATTTGCTTACGCATCTATCTTCCCTAAAAGATTCTGAGCTCCACAAATACAGGGATTTGGCCTTAATTTTCCATTTAACTATAGATATTTCACAGCACTGTAGTACATAGCAGAATAAAATAATAATACTGTGGCAACCTTGTGAGTGTCTCTCAGCTTGTGGCATATGCTTATTAAGTAGACCAGGATATTACATTAATCGGGGCCTCTTTGCTTCTTCAATGTTGATGCATTATTAACTTCTTACACTTTGCTTGTCATTGCTTCCAAGGGAACAAGCATAGTTCTATTTTCAGCTGTTATTTCACTACCTTTCTGTTGAACCTGTAAGGACACTGAATGTAGATTACATTTCCAGGATCAAATTAGTCACCTCCTGATGTCATACAAAGAGCCATCTAATCTCACGAGCAAACAATCTCTACATCTTAAAATAGGATGCATTATTTCTGGAGGACCAGCTAGAGATAGCACATCCTTTTTTGGTTATATGAATTCTTACTGCTCTGCTCCCACAAGGTCCCCTGACTGGTCCCCACTCACTTTTGGCTCATCCCTTTTATCACCAATGGTCCTCTTTCTGGAAACTGCACTTCCTCCAGTAAGAACACTTGCTATCTGACTGGGTCACATTTCCTTGGGGTCCAGGTGGAAATCTGCATAGTACCACTCTGACAACTCTGAAAGAGCAAATGTCCTCATGTGGCTCCAGTCCTGGATCATCCAGAAATAATGTTTGTTTTGAGACCAAACATTTAGGAAGTCAAGACATAGACTGAGTGGCAACCACATATTTAAGATTAGGGCAGGTGGGAAGTCTGAAACAAGGTAGATGCTCAGTGGGCAGCCCGGGTGGCTCAGCGGTTTAGTGCCGCCTTCAGCCCAGGGTGTGATCCTGGAGACCCAGGATCGAGTCCCACATCAGGCTCCCTGCATGGAGCCTGCTTCTCCCTCTGCCTGTGTCTCTGCCTCTCTCTCTCTCTCTCTCTCTCTCTCTGTGTGTGTGTCTCTCATGAATAAATAAATAAAATCTTAAAAAAAAAAAAACAAGGTAGATGCTCAGGTTAGGTCAAATTGGCAATAACCGGAGCCTGACGATGTAAGCCTGATTCTTTGGTGGACTTTGTGGGAGTCTGAGCCCATGGATACTGATGGTTAAGTGGCCAAGGAGGTGGTGAAAAGGAAGGTAGGAAATTTAGAATTTTATTGGAAGGTTCTGAGTATTAGAGTCTCACAAGGTCAGAGTGATACCGATGGATATTTGTGGTGAACCTACCACTGGGACATGTATTTCAACCATTGTCCCCCTATTTCCTGCCCCGGTTTTTCATGCAAGAAAAAGAATACCTTCCTCAGATCCTCTTCCTGGGAATAGGAGAAAAAAACTCACCTTTGTCTAACCTAAAGTTTGGGATTTTCATACATTTTCTCCAAATCAAAGTATGTGAAATTAATCTATGATTTGCCATCTCTCTCAAAAACTGTACCAGTGTTTATTCTTGCTCCTATTTCCAAACCAGTGAAGTTCTTAGTTCTTTCTCCAGATCCTGTAGGTGTAAGGTTGGGTTGTATATTTGAGACTTGTTTCTTGAGTAAGGCTTGTATTGCTATATACTTCCCTCTTAGGACTGCCTTTGCTGCATCCCAAAATTTTTGAACAATTGTATTTTCCTTCCTTCTTTCTTTCTTTAAAGATTTCATTTATTTGATAGAGAGTGAGTGAAAGAGCACAAACAGGGGGAGTGTCAGAGGGAGAGGGAGAAGCAGGCTACCTGCAGAGCAGGGAGCCTAATGCGGGGCTCAATCTCAGGACTCTGGGATCATGACCTGAGTTGAAGGCAGACGCTTAACTGACTGAGCCACCCAGGTGCCCTGACCCATTATTCTTTAGTAGGGTGCTCTTTAACCTCCATGTATTTGAGTTCCTTCCAAATTTCCTCTTGTGATTGAGTTCAAGTTTCAAAGCATTGTGGTTTGAAAATATGCAGGGAATAATACCAGTCTTTTGGTACTGGGTGAGACCTGATTTGTGACTCAATATGTGATCTATTTTGGAGAATGTTCCAGGTGTACTCAAGAAGGATGTGTATTCTGTTGCTTTGGGACGGCGTGTTCTGAATATAGCTGTGAAGTCCATCCGGTCCAGTGTGTCATTTAAAACCTTTGTTTCCTTGTTGATCTTCTGGCTTAAATGACCATTTCCATTGATGTAAGTGGGATGTTAAAGTCCCCTGCTATTATTGTATTATTATCAATGGGTTTCTTTAATTTTGTTATTAATTGGTTTATGTAATTGGCAGCTCCCATGTTTGGGGCATAAATATTTACAATTGTTAAATCTTCCTGTTGGATACACCCTTTAATTATGATATAGTGTCCTTCCTCATCTCTTAGTAAAGACGTTGGTTTAAAATCGAATTGGTCTGATATAAGGATTGTCACTCCAGCTTTCTTATGATGTCCATTAGCATGATAAATCATTTTTCCACCCCCTCACTTTAAATCTGGAGGCGTCTTTGGGTCTAAAATATGTCTGTCATAGGCAACATATTGATGAATCTTCCTTTTTTATCCAATCTGATACCTTGTGTCTTTTAATTGGGGCATTTAGCCCATTTACATTCAGAGTAACTATTGAAAGATATGACTTAAATGCCATTGTATTACCTGTAAAGTCACTGTTCCTTTCTGGTCTATGTTACTTTGGGGCTCTTTCTTCACTTAGAGGATCCCTTTTAATGTTTCTTGCAGGATTGGTTTAGTGAATACAAATTCTTTTAGTTTCTGTATGTCCTGGAAGCTCTTTATCTCTCCTATTCTGAGTGACATCCTAGCTGGATAAAGTATTCTTGGCTGCGTATTTTTCTCGTTTAGCCTCCTGAATGTATCATGCCAGTCCTTTCTGGCCTGACAGGTCTCTGTGGATAGGTCTGCTGCCAGTCTGATGTTTCTACTCTTGTAGGTTATGGACCTCTTGTTCTGAGCTGCTTTCAGGATTTTCTCTTTGTCTCTGAGATTTGCAAGCTTCACTATTATATGTCGAGGTGTTGACATATCTTAACTGATTTTTGAGGGGGGTTCTCTATGCCTCCTGGACTTGAATGCCTTTTTCCTTTCCAAGATTAGTGAAGTTCTCAGCTAGAATTTGCTCAAATATACCCCCCACCCACCTTCTTCTTCTGGAACCTCAATTATTCTAATATTGTTTCATTTTGTGGTATCACTTATATCTCGAATCCTCTCCTTGTGATCCAGTAGTTGTTTATCTCTCTTTTTCTGTTCCTTTATTCTCCATCATTTTGTTTTCTGCATCACTAATTCTCTCTTCTGCATTTATCCTACCCATTAGAGCCTCCATTTTTATTGCATCTTATTAATAGCCTTTTTTATTTTGACCTGATTAGATTTTAGTTCTTTTATTCTCCAGAAAGGGATCCTCTAGTGTCTTCTGTGCTTTTTTTCAAGCCCATCAAGAATCTTTATAATCATTATTCTGAACTCTAGTTCTGACATCTTACTTATATTCATACTGCTTAGGTCCCTGGCAGTCAGTACTGCCTCTTATTCTCTTTTTTGGGGGTGAGTTTTTCCATCTTGTCATTCTGTCCAGAGTAAAATAGATGAATGAGAGAACAAAATACTAAAATAACAACAATGACCCCAGAGAAATATACACTAAACAAATCAGAAGAGACCAGAAACTGCAAAGAAAAAAAAAAGAGAGAGAGAGAGATAGAATATAATCAGACAGGTGAACAGAACAGAGCAATATACTAGATCCTGGTGTATTTTGGTCTATTTTTAGAAGAAACTAGTTCCCAAAATTGTAAAGAAAGAAAAACATATATATACAAAAATAAAATTAAATTCAATGAAAGGATAGAATGCAACTGTAAAATGAAAATTAAAGAAGATTTGCAAAAAGTGGTCATTTTTCTATTTGTAGAATTGCAGTAATTCTTCTCTTAGGTCTCTGGTTGAGTTCACAGGTGTTCAGAATGATTTGATAGCTATCTAGCTGAATTCCAGGGACCAGAGGAAACTAGGGTTCCCTACTCTTCCATCATATTCCTCCCTACTTCCAATGAAGTAAATTTCTTAAGGACAGAGACCATATCTCGTTCATCTTTTCAGGCTCAGTATTTAGCACAGTGCCTGACACAAAGTGGGTAGGCAACAAATATTTATTGAATGAATAAATGAGTGGATGTATGAATAGAGAAAATAGGATATGGGCGTGAATTTTAAAATTCTGATTATACATTTTTTGTACATTTTATACATTTTATACATTTTTTGATTATACATTTTATACATTGTTTTGATCATTCAAGGGTGGTTGAATGATAACACAGTTGAGGTTTTCAACATTAATAATTTTTTTGTTCACCAATA